TGTTTCATATAATATTTTTTTTGATGAAGTTGTTTCATATATGGTTATGAAATTGTTTCATATACTACTTAATGAAACTGTTTCATGTATTTCTCTAACATTAAAATAATGAAGATGATAATATCCATGATTAACATCATCCACAATAAAAATGATTAATCAACCTCTCATAATTACAAAAAAAATGAACAAAATAAAAAATTATGATTAGTTGAATAAAATTTGTACGGTTTGTACAAATTAGGTGGTTTTTATTTGAACGCTCCCCTATATATATATATATATATATATATATGTGTGTGTATATGTGTGTGTGTGTGTGATTGGAAGACTACTTTATTCCCTCTTTAATTTCCCAAATGGGATTGGTGTTTCAAAGATGCTAAATCAAATTATTCCAGAATCATATTATGTTGACATCCATCAACTGTGGATCAAAATACTAATTTGCAATCTCAAGATATTGCACAAGCAATCTACCACAATACCATGTTCAACCCAATGTAAAAAGTGTTGTGCAAGGATCGTTTACCAAATACTTATCTGGTAAGAGCTTACTTGGTCACTGACTTTACAGAATAAACTGGCTAAGACCGAGAATCTTACCCGTTAAGAGGGATGACAAGAACCGAGAGTCTTACCTGATGAAAGTGACTACTCTTACCTGGTTGGCACTTATTTGGTAAATTATTGCATATGATGCCGTTTGATAGACTAGAATATTTCCTAATCCTAGTAAAGCAAGTGAGTGTCGACTCTTACCCGTAAGTAAGCATTTGGATAAACAGCCCTAACGTCGCCCGTCCGAATCTCCTTAGGGCCATTGAGAATTTTCATGTTATCTGCAGGGCCCTATGGTATCAGTCGAGATGCGCATAACAACCTTGCTCAGAAACCCACGGTTAACAAAAAAAAAAGTGTTCACTCACCAGCAGTCTAGCAAATTTCAGGGTCAAGCTACCGATAACTTTTGAAGCAAATAAGATGTGACGAGAACGCAGTTGCTGTCATCATTAATTTGTTATAACATAAAACGAGTGTTAACGAGAATTTGCTGTAATATATGATAACCTCAGCAACCTATATCAACACATGTTCTCTTGAAAGGCGAGGTAACTCGTATCAGTCTATAATCTGGAAAACAGTAATTACAATTCGAAACTTTTATTTGGAATCTAGAAAAAACATAAAACGTACCTATTGAGTTGAATCTTCATGAAACCGAGCATCAAAAGGTGCAGAAGAGTGATTGGGAGTTGATAAGTTGCCTGCACCCGAACCTTGTTGAAGTTCAATTACTAACCAACGGACAGCTTTACTCATCTGTTCCAACCGGACAGCACTAATAGGTGGAAGGCCAGGTGTGACTGGCTTGCCAGCGACTGAGCCAGTGGCCTCATCCACCAGGCATTCAGAAGCTATTCTTAGTTTGACGGACTCGAGAAACTCCTCAGCCTGATCACAGGCCACTCGAAACAATTCCCATCTTTGCTTAAGGTTCTCTAGGGCAGCATCTGTGGCAACAGTAACCTGGCCACCGGAGGCCTCCTTGGCTTCAAGTGTGCTAGCTACTGCACCCACAAATTCTTGATAAGCATTGTCTAAAGCGTCTACAATGCTATCCATTGATTCCGATTCTGATTAAAACTTGTTAACGGAACTGCACCAAAAGAAACAATTAGTTGCAAATTGATAATCAATATACATATATAAGGTCAGGTTCTTGGAAAAACCGCAAAAAAAATGAAAACCTATGGATCACCATGGTAACCATTTATTTGGACAGTATGCACATGTGCATACAAGTAATTTGTAAGCAATTTGTCTAGTATGCACATGTGCATACTGTCCAAATGAATGGTTACCAAGGTATTCCTCAGGTTTTCCTTTTTTTGGGGTTTCCCCCTTAACCTCCCTCTCTCTGTTGAGAAATTGCCAACTCAAAGTTTCTAGGATAAATACCTATTTTTTTGAGTCGGTTAGGAAGTCGAGTTTTTTTCGATTTCCTAGCGAGATATGGGCTTAGTAGAAGATACTTTCTCTGCACTTGTAAGGCTATTTAAAGCCAGTCTTGTTTTATAAGCCTTAATTTTTCCTTACTCTTGATACTTAACAATCGGTATCAGAGCCATCAAGGTTTCCAAAAGACAGAAAAGAAGTAAGCAGCAGATTTCTTCTACACGAAAGCCAAAGGTAACGATGATTGAAGACAAAACCCTAACCCAAATTCCCAGTCATTATGACCATTGGAGTGAGCTAATGGAAAATTTGTTGAGAACAAAGGGACGACGGAAATTGGTCGCAGATGGGTTTACAAAAGCACCATCAGTCATAGAGTTAAACGCAGCACATAAGAAACAACTCGACGAGAAAAGGACACTTGACCATCAGACCTATTTCAAGCAATTGATCGCATTTATGTTTGAGCAGATCCTGGATCGGTGGACATCAAAGATTGTGTGGGATTCAAGGAAGCGTAAATTCGGCAGCAGCAAGACTGTGAAGAGGTCTCTTCTGAATACGCTGAGGAGAGAATTCGAGGTACTCGTGACGAAAAACAGTGAATCGATCTTTGAGTAATTTGCTAGGGTGATGGTTGTCTCTAACAAAATGAGGAGCAATGGCGAGGAGATGCCCAATTGCAAGATTGTACAGAAGATCTTGTGAACTCTAACTGAGAAATTTACTTACATTGCGGTAATTGAAGAATCAAGAGACACAACTAAGATGTATGTAGATGAGCTCCAAAGCTCTCTGATGGTCCATGAACAGAAATTTAGAAGGGTGTATGAAGAAGGTGAAGACCGTGTGTTAGAGGTGGAAGACTGAACTGGAACGAGAGGCAGGGGCGTTCTTCTCCAAGGGGGAGAGGTCGAGGTAAAGGAAGAACGCCATTTAATAAGGCAACAGTGGAGTGTTATATATGCCATAACCTCAGGCATTTCCAACATGAATGCCCACGTGGAGCAAGGAGGCAAATTATGTGGAATTCGATGATGAAGATGATGTTTTGCTGATGGCATATGTAGAGAAGCACGATTCCACAATGAGGGATGCATGGTTCGTTAATTCTGGTTGCTCAAATCACATGTGTGGAGATCAAGGAATGTTTACAAGTTTGGATACAACATTCTCACATATCGTAAAACTTGGAAACAACACGAGAATGCAGGTTAATGGAAAAGGATCTGTGAAGCTAGTTGTACAAGGCGTTAGCTATGTCCTTAGTGATGTGTAATGTGTACGGGAGCTCAAGAACAATCTATTGTGTGGGAAAACTTCAAGAAAATGGCATGAACGTGATGTTCAAGAATGGTGTCTGCAGTATTCATCATCCACGAAGAGGAAGAATGGCAGTCTATGATGAGTAACAACAAGATGTTTGTTTTACTTGCTGCCCACATGTCACCACCAGGAAAGAAAGATGCTTGCATACTAACGACATGGATCAGTCTACCATCATTAGGGACATCTCAGTCACAAAGGTCTTCATACACTCCAACAAAAGCAAATGGTGGCTGGACTGCCACAGATTATAGCCTCAAATGTCACCTGTGATCCATGTATGAAAGGCAAGCAACATCGAACCCCTATCCCAAAAACAAGCAAGTGAAGAGCAACTGAGAGATTGCAACTAGTTCATGCAGATCTTTGCGGCCCCATCACACCAGCATCACATTCAGAAAAGATATGTATTATGTTTCATTGATGATTTTTCTCGGAAGGCATGGATTTATTTTCTATTGGAGAAATCAGAAACTTTCTCTCATTTTAAGTGCTTCAAAACACTTGTAGAAAAGGAAAGTGGAAAGTCTACTAAATGTTTGAGGACAGATGGTCAACTATGCAGAGTTTGCTGATTTTTGTAAGCAACATGGAGTGAAAAGATAGCTGACAACAACTTACACTCCACAACAAAATGGAGTGGCCGAGCGCAAGAGTCGCACATTGAAGAATTTGGTGAGAGACATACTATTCAGAGAAAAGAGTTCCCAAACCTTTCTGGCCAGAAGCTGTTCGGTAAATAATTCATATCTTGAATCGATCACCCACTTTAGCAGTGAAGGATATGACCCCAGAGGAGGCATGGAGCGGAGAGAAGCCATCGGTGGAGCATTTCCGGGGGTCCGGTTGCATGGGACATGTCCACATACTAGATGCTAAAAGAACCAAACTGAAGATAAAAGCGTGAGTTGCATACTACTTGGGTTCAGCAACGAATCTAAAGGCTACAGGATGTTCGACCCTGCTGCCAAGAAAATCATTGTGAGTCGCGATGTGCTTTTCGACAAAGATCATGCATGCGATTGGGATGCTAGCCGCGAAGAAGAACAATCAAAGTAACTAGCATGGGGAGACAACATTGAAGAAAATGGAACAATGGAAAATACAGATGGAGCTGAGAACGAGAACAAACTACCGGCTGCTGAAAGAGGAGTTGACAGCAAGGGAGGGAAGAAATCGGCAAACACAAAGAAATCGGCAATCACCGGTGTCGATGGCAGACTTCAAATCCGGTGAATATCTGTCCGAAGAAGATGAAGCAAACCTGGCACTCATGGTGTCTTCTGATCCTACAGACTTTGATGAAGCAGTCAGCTCGAAATGGCGGTTGGCAATGGATGAAGAAATCAAGTCCATCGAAAGAAATCAAACCTGGCACCTGGTAGAACTACTAAGAAAATAGGGGTGAAATGGGTCTACAAAACCAAGCTGAATGAGCTCGGTGAAGTCGATAAACACAAAACACGGCTGGTGGTAAAAGGCTACTCCCAACAACATGGCATCGACTATACAGAGATATACGCACCTGTAGCTAGAATGGATACAGTGAGGATGATCATTGTTTTTTGCTGCACAAAGGGGCTGGAAGCTTTATCAGTTAAGACATCAAGTCAGCTTTCTTATATGGAGAATTAAAGGAAGATGTTTTCGTGGAGCAACCAAAGGGATATGAAAAGGAAGGACGTGAGCAAATGGTGTACAAACTGAAAAAGGATCTTTACGGACTAAAACAAGCACCTAGAGCTTGATTTAGTCGGATAGAGTCTTATTTCATCAAGGAGGGTTTTGAAAGAAGTCCAAGTGAACAGACGCTCTTTGTGAAGAAGAAAAGTGGTAAGCTTCTCATAGTGAGCATTTATCTTAATGATCTATTATTTACTAGTGATGATAAAGAAATGTTAGCTGAGTTCAAATGTTCAATGAAAAGGGAGTTTGACATGACAGATCTGGGAAAGATGAGACTTTTTCTAGGAATTGAGGTGTTACAAAGGTCTGATGGTATTTTTATATGCCAAAAGAAATATGCAGCTGAGGTATTAAATCAATTTGGTATGGAAAGCAATTCTGTTTGGAATCCTATTGTTTCAGGGCAACAAAGGTGGATGCAACTCACTTCAAACATATGGTGGGAAGTCTAATGTATCTCACAGCTACTCGGCATGTTCGTTGCAAGTCTCATTATTCGGTTCATGGCAAGTCCTACACAACTAATTTTGCAGCAGCAAAGAGAGTCCTAAGGTATTTGAAGGGGACTGGACTATGGCGTGTTTTACAAAAATGGAGGAGCTAGTGACTTGGTAGCCTTTACAGATAGTGATTATGCTGGAGATATGGAGGATAGCAAAAGCAATTCGAGCTATGTATTTATGATGTGTAGTGGAGCAGTAGCATGGTCATCAAGAAAGCAACCCATAGCCACTTTGTCAACGACCAAGGCTGAATTTGTAGCAGCTGCTGCGTGTGCTTGCCAGGCTATTTGGATGAGAAGGGTTCTAGAAGAAATTGGTCATTTGCAAAAGGATGGTACTGTGTTGATGTGTGACAACATCAACTATAAAGGTGTCTAAAAATCCAGTTTTACAAGGCCACTCAAAGCATATACGAGTAAGGTTTCATTTTCTCAGGGATCTTGCTAACGATGGAGTTGTTAAGCTGTTACATTGTGGCACTCGAGACCCAACTTGCAGATTTGATGACCAAGGCTCTCAAGCTAGAGGCTTTTCAAAAGCTTCGAAAGGAATTGCGTGTTTGTTCTGTTTCTGATTTGAACTAATTGTTCTCCAAAGGCAATTAGTTTGCAAATTGCTAAGTCAAAGTTTCTAGAATAAAGACCTATCCTTTTCGGTTTGTTAGGATCTTTAGTCCGTTGAGTTTTTTCCGATTTCTTAACGAGATGTGGGCTTAGTGGAAGATACTTTTTCTGTACTTGTAAGCCTATTTAAAGCCAGTCTTGTTTCAATAAACGTATGAACTTCCAAGCCTTGATCATTTCTGTTTTCGTTACTCTTGATACTTAACACAGTCTCTCTCTCTCCCTCTCTTTATCTCTCTCTATATATACACACACACACATAATCTATAAGTTATAGTTGTTAAAACTAATCCAAAATATTTTTGATGCTATACTCTTGACCTACACTAGCTTGACCATTTTGATAGTTAACCAAACTAGCTCTTTCCACAAACTGTAGTTTGTGGTGCTATATTAGGTGTACACAGAAAACACCAAATGGTTGTTTCCTTCCTATTTGATCAATAAGGTTTCTAAGTTCCGTTGGGTAGAAGAAAAAACTCGGCGCCTTTACAATCTTAAGCAGATACTAAGAATCACCCTTTCAGACATCGATATTAAATCAAGAGCATGCAATGTTTCATTGACATTGATATTGAATTTGTATTTCAGACAACCTCGGTGATGAAGTGGGGTATTTAGTGTTGAAATCTAATTTCCATATTTTTCCTTGTGACCCAACAATCAAGAGATTTATTCGCTTCTCATTTAACTTCAGCTTATTGAAACTTCCATCAAATGGAAAACATCTTCAAAAGAAAGTAACATCACGACTGACACATATCTTTTGACTTTTTAGGTCGTAAAGTTTATAACCCTTCTTTCCCATGGGATAGCCTGTGAATACACTCCCTATGTCAACACTAACTCAAAAAGATGTTTACCAATCAGCATTTATGTTTCTATAACCACATTAGAATTAGATAAGTTGATAATCAACCACAAGTGAACATATTCAACAAACAAACAATAAAAAGGCATAATCTTTGTAGTCTACTTCACTTTGAATTAAGAACAAATTGACATGGAGATAATTAGATGGAGAAACCATACCTATCTGCAGAATTGCAACAGAAAAATCGACAGCAAGTCGACACTCGGCAATGAGGGTAGCAAAATCGAATTGGGGCTAAGGGTAGCAGCGCTCCACTTGACCGAGTTCGGAGTTCGGACTTGACCTAGTTCCGGACAGGATTATTTTTGGCCTTTGGCCTATAATGGGATTCGCAGTTGGTAATCAAGAATCCAAGAGAAGGAACGATGTGGAATCGTACGCAGCAAAGAATCGCAAAAAAAAAAAATCGTACGCAGCAAAGAGAAAACGTACGCAGCAAAGAAACGATGTGGAAGAAGCCGGTGTGGAAGGAGGCGGTGGAAGAAGCCGCGATGTGGAAGGAGCTCTCGTGGAACGGTGGAAAAGAGACGATGATGGAGGGCTTAGGTTTTTTATTGGAAACATGGGTAATATATATTCCATTTGTATTTAAAATCGTCAAAGTTTTGTTTCATCAAATTTAAAAATAATTTCGGTCTTGTCACATGTATTTTGACATGTTAAACACGAGACTATTTTTTTATCTCGTCCCGTCCCATGTAATCTCCATACCAAACGCATGCTAAGTGTAAATTGTGCTAATATATATATGGAGCAAATTACATAGTCCCTATGGTTTATATGAAATCACACTGTACGTTCTTAATTAGGGATATAAATGACACGAGACAACTCGCGAGCTTCTCGAAATCGACTCGGTCAAAGCTCTTTCAACATTCAACTCGAATAGTATCGACTTGACATATTAACAAGTCGAGTCAAGCTACCCAATACTCGACTCGAAAAGCTCGTAAGATATTTGATTATTTTATATATAATTAGTTTTAAAATATAATCAGTTTTTATGATAAAATTTGTAAAATATAAATAATAAAAATATATTATATTTTTAGGTATTTAAACAAAATTATGCATTTTTTTAGTTTTAAACAAAATTATGCATTTTTTAAGTTTTAAAATTTATAAGAGAAAAACCCTAAAATTTCATAAATTTCAATGGATGAGCTCGGTTTGAGCTTGGTTCGAGGTCGAGCAAGATTTGAGTTGCAGTTTGAGCTGGTTTCGAGCTTGATTTGAGCTTAGTTCGAGCTTGATTCGAGTTCGAGTTTGAGCTTGAAAAATGGTTATCGAGTTCGAGTCAAACTTTGATTTTTACTACTTGCGAGTTTTCAAGGCGATTCGTGCTTGGAAATCGGGTTTCAAGTTTGAGTCGAGTATAGTGATACTGAAGCTCGACTCGCATCATTTGCACCCCTATTTTCATTTCAATATAATTATGGCAAAAGTCCATGTGGTTTACATTTTCTCACGCCTTTGGTTCTTGTATCCTAACACCGTTAAAAAGATTTGTTAAATAGGTTAATTAGAAGGACAATTTAGTTATCATTTTATTTTTATTTCCTATTAAAACCATAGGGACCAAGAATGTAATTTACTCTATTATCGGAGAGTTTGGGATTGCCTATTTAAAACAACGTATATTTTTTTTGTAAAAAGTGTTTGGATTAACTTATGATTGTACCAAAACGCAATAAGTTGATAAGTTATTTTTTAGTGTTTGACAAATTTTGTTTGTACATGTAAAATAACCAAAAAGGGAATTCTTCCATATTATTGACTTACAGGGAGTGTTTGAGATTGCCTATTAACTTATTTGATCTTTTAACATGTATAAAATTATTTTTCATCATTTATAATAATATCTTTGACAAAAATTTATATCAATAACATTAATAATTTATAACAAAAAAACTAACTTAAATAACAAAAATTTATACCAATACCATTAAAAATTTATAACAAAAATAATAGATTTATACAACAAAAAAAATATTATATCGTCATTTATAATGTAATTTTTTTATAACCAAAATATATAACAAAAATAGATCGATAATAAATATTCATTTGGATCACCCTATTAGATATCCTGCAATCATATCTCTTATTGCACTCATATATAGATCATCGCTCGTACACCGTGAACTTGTGTTTTCATGTGCTTCATTATTGCTACCACATCCTTCATCATCAACATCAATACGAGGGTCACTTGTGTCTCGTAAGCGTAACTGACATGCATATTTTTTAGTATTTGTCATCTATCTTTCCATACTCCAAAAGTTCGTTCAACAACATTCCTCAGTCATGAGTGATGAGAGTTAAATGTCTGTAGGAACACGTATTGTTACAGTTTGTCCACGACGAAAACCGGGTATGTGATAACGAATATTTGTTCCTTTGTATGGAGCAAGATAACCTTTAGTATTTTGATATTCGGCATCAACAACATAATACTTATCTTTAATGAAAAATAAACAAACTACTGTTATTTGTTTCAAATAGTATGACAACATAAAAGTTTCCATTACTACAAAAAAATACTAAGCACCGATTGGTTGTGGAAATTTAAGTTCAATTCTACGTAAGGCTTCAAAAAATATTTGTGTGTCATGTGTAGTTCCCTCCCATCCAGCCCATGCAAACGTAAAACACCAAATTAAAATCACAAACGGCCATGATATTTTGTGTCGCATATCCTTTTCTACCAATGTATTTTGCTTGCTCATGCTCTCGAACTGATGCCCTTACGTGTGTCCCATCGATAGCGCCAATACAATCCTACACATATAAAGAAACATAATTTATTAATCTATTAAAATGATATGATCAAATACGAAGCAAGATATAGGAAGTACCTTGAACATTGGATGACAGCGAGAATTATTTAAAATATGTACGGGTACATCTTCATTGTAATTTGCATTTGGCTTTATGATATATGCACTTAACTTAAGCACAACTTTCAAAACAGCAAGGAAATGCCTATGGATAGTTTATTCAGAATGATTAAAGGTTTCTTGTATTAACCTATTCCCACACCCATGTGTTAAAGTCATCAAGAAAATCCCAACAGACTCCTCGATACATATATTACGTGTTGGTTTTAACTCGTAACGTGTGGCAAGATCTGAATATAACATTTTGAATACTGGACATGTAGTCTGAAATCTTCGTAACAACGTCTAGGATGATCGTTAAGTATTTCATGAATAAATATGTTTCATGTGCGAGAAGATGTGTGGCAAGGCATACGTGTATTATTCAATTTGTAACTTATTATTATCCATTTGATAGCTATTGCACATAATATTAGCCATTTGTTTTCATCTTCCACCCAATTTACTTCATTATCATCATTCGAATCAGAGTCATCACTATTCATCCTATTAATAGATAAAAAAAATCAAACATATTAAAAAACGCATATAAAAAGGATAGATAACATCAAACGTCATACATAATGTTAAACGATAATACATGATATGAAACCATGGTAAAAACATAATATCACAATATTAAATGATAATGTCAAATGTCATCCTAAAAATGCACTACAACAAAATCGGGTTTATAGGACGCTACCAATTATTAAGCGTCCTAATAGACCTCTTTATATGACTTAGTTTATATGACCAAGAAAAAGTGTCTTATCTAAAGCTGTTGTAATAAGTTTATATGACATTTTTTGACGTCATAATAAGTTTTTTAGGACACTTTTAATATAAAGCATCATATTAACAACTTTATATGACACTATTTTCCAAACCAAATGCATTAAAATGCATTTTCCAAACCAAATACATTAAAATGCATTTATCACTAAATACTCTACATTTATAAAATAAATCATCATAATAACTCATACTTATAATTTATTTACCCAAATATAAGCACTTTACATGATTTATAAAACCAGATATACCAAATATGCAAAATTCATCAAATAACTCATACATTTAATAAATAGCAAGTATAACATGTTAATACTTTAAAATGAACATTTTTGGCATGTAAATAGTTTTCACAAATCAACTTGAACTCACTTTTCTATGTTAGGTTAAACCTAGGTTTTAAACCCAAATCTTTAGTTTCCGAAATGGAGACTTGAGGTTCAACTAGCAAGAACTTTTCTAACAGCTTTCTCCAAATCACCACCCAAGTCTAGAGATGCATCAAAATCAACTATAATATTAGATCCACAACAAAATCCAAATTTATGTCTCAAAATACCCAAAAAACTTACCTCCTCATTGAATGTTCCAAGCTAAAACCCACTATGAGACTCCTCCAATCACCTCAAAATTATCTTAAAATGCTCCAAAATCGATCTTCTAGCTGCAAAATCGCTCAAGGAGAACAAAAATTGGAATGGAGAAAATAAATGTGAAAACCCTAGTAAAATCAGGCTTAAAAATAAGTTGGGCGTTTGGGGACACTTAAATCACCTGGCCAAAGGCGCCCGGCCGGCCAGCCGTTCCAGACCATTCCTCAACCGTTGTCTAAAATTACGGGTGTTCCGACTTGCCAGTAGTATTTTTCAGACTACTATTTGACTTATCTTGTATTGATATTCTTTCGGCTGGATGACAAATCAATCCGCTTTGGTGACGATTTTGACATCACTTCAACTAGTCTTCAATTTCGCTGAAGGCTTTTTTATTCTTGGATCAATACATACAATTATAAGATTTTTACAAAGAAAAATCATATATTTTCTATTCCAAAATATAAGCTATATATCAGATTGAATTCTTAAACTAACTTAAAATAAAATGTAGGTTTTTGAAACTCAAGATGGAATGACTAGAATGATAAGTCAACCAGATTCTCCAATTGGGATGGAGAATAATCAAATAAGATTTGATCTCACATTTTATCTGAGTTATAAATCTGATGTTGACTAAGATCAGAAAATTTGAACCTAACAAATTTCTAAGGTTTGGATGTTGATCCTTTTGAGTCATATTCGATTGATGTTGTTATTAGACAAGGATGTTAAAAGATAAATGATAAGAATTTCTTTCTATGCATTGAATTGGATCTTAGTTGTATTATCTACAAATCCGATGATTGAGACCAACAAAAACTTATATTATAATTTAGAGTAAAGTTCACTTTTGGTCCCTAATAACGTTTGTCACTTTCAACAGTTTTCGTTTGTCAACTTCATTTTCCCAGATTTTTCCCTGACGTTTGTCAATTCACAACAGATTTTGTCCCTCCTCCTAATGGACATTAAATTTTTTCGTTAAATCCAGTTTAATGATGGCATTTTAGTCATTTTACTACTTTTAATAATTTTCTATTAAAATTTTATCTTTTGTAAACCACGGTGATCAAGAATGTAATTTATTCTTTACACCATCTAAACTATCACCGTCATCTTCATCAAAACTATCACCGTCACCTATGATATCGTCCATGTGACATCTTCCCAAAGATCTACCATCAACAATATATGGATCGTAAATAGTAAAATCAAATAA